TTATCGTGATCACACTGTATAATGTTGTAATAATCACTGAACAGCATATTGTTTAAATATACCTACTCATAAATAGTGTTTTAATATTAATTAATAATCATAGAAAAAAAGCCTGATAATTAAATTAATAAAAAAAACTATCAGATCAGTTATAAGACGTATTATTTAAGTATCATAAGCTATAATATCGTTTAACTAAAATACGCATCATGAATCATGACATATTTTAAAATCTAATTAGTAWGTGTTTGGTGTTGCTACCACTAATATAGGAGTATATGACTATATAGTAGCTAAGGTAGCCTATAAATGATATAATGTATAAATAATGCAAAATTTAACGAACAATTGTCTTGAGTTAAATAAAGACGTAAATAATTTTCTAAGTAACGATTAACGACTATTGATCATTGACCAAATTGTTCAACTAGTTTAGTATTCGCAGCCAGGAATCCACTATTCTATATGTGCTAATTTAATTAATAATTTTTATCACGCTTATATGGTTCATAGAAAATCGTTAAAATATATTTCACAATGTTTATTACTTTTTTTAATAAACGTAATACCGTATTATTGTGAAACCAATTAATGGGATAGACTTCAAACCCGCGTTTTGGAAAAATTATTGTCACATGCTATTGTGTAGAAAAGGGTTCGACGACAGTATACTTACGAGGATGATACTTGATAACAATATACTCGTATATTCGCTAGACGTATTTTCTAAATTGTAATTTGAGAAAAATTTAGCACAAGCAACTTAAAAGTGTGATAGTTGATTTTATAAAGTCATAATATTTCTTCAAAATAAAAAATATAAACAACATTTTAAACCACGAAGATCATTCGACAAAGAATTAACAATCACTTTCTTTATACATAATTAATCAATAACTCATCATTTTTTCTTAAAGGGCGATGACTGATGATATTTTATACGTATAAGTTTTAAAAATAATATTAAGGGCCGTAGAATGTTTCCTATTTGCACCACTAAGAACCAAATAAATGGATAATAATACCATAAGCAATTAGCACTTATTATTAAGTATTAACATATTTCCATTGGAGTTAATATTCCTATTGTAACTTTAAAATTTCGGCTTTATAAAACTAAAATAAAAGAATTACTGGTAACCATTTGTACCGAGCCACGATGCTGCGTTGAGTGTATTGATTGCGCTCTGACAAACGGCCCCTCCCCCCACGTGTGCCGAATGACCCACAAAATTCACTACCACCCAAATTATTCCTGCTGACCTATATARACCGTTTCTGTTRAAACTATTGTTTTTTTTGCTAGATATTAGATTAATGTCCACGATAAGCCAATATCATTTCAACCGAGTATAGGTACAATCTGTGTGCTCGTTGTTATTTATTAGGCGTGTATAGGATAATCGCGATTATCTACACTGTATCATTGACGACACATAATTTATAAAATTACTATGATAAGTTATTTACCTGAACAGCAGCTTGATTTTCTTTGTCCAACAGAAATTCCATGGATTTGGCCCTGTAATCGGTTGCGTTTGATGACGACCCGTCGGAGGACGATTTGTTTGATTCGTTGGGAGCTAGAGACAATTTCGCCGACGAAGCGCCCAGATCGAGCAGACTACGGGCCTTTTTGTTGGGGCTGCAACCACCACCACCCATCATGAGCGATGACGACGATGTCCTAGTCACGTTMGAGTCCAAGTCGGTCTCCAGCAGACCGGCCCGGTGATCCGGACGGGACATTGCAACGGCGGCGGCGGGCGACCGCGATTGCAGAGACGCGCGACTGCCGGCCGTCGGCAGTGCCGGCGGTGGCGGCAGTCGACTACCGCGATTTTCGTCATATATGAGGCGCCGGCGCGTTGTGTAGCCGTCTGCTGACGGGGGTTGCGGGGGTAANTGTTTATATAATATTAATGTTCACACATTACACAGTACACTGCAGTAACACTGCGCCGCGGTAACTTTTGGACCAAACCCCTCCCTTTGAGCTTATAATAATATATCAAATTAGTCTAAGTACATAAAAAATCTAAATTCTATTTGAGTTTTATTGTAATTGCATAACATTGTATATTACTTTTTTTAATTTGATTGAATGAACTATGTTTTCAACTTTTAAATCAATAAACAGAAATAGTTTAAACTATTCGATATTTGTACTAAATTCAAGATCAATTTTTAAATCATAAATACATCATCATGTATGCTATGCATTAAATGTAACGAATGTATCTATAACTATAGAAAAGTATAGCGCAGCGCTTCTCAACCAGGGTGTCGCGTAGGTCAAAAATAATAAAACGCTGATTTAAAATTGATATTAATATTAATAGGAAGGATATTAAATATATTAACATTTTTTAGTGTTAAAATTTTTACCTATTATAGATTGGGGCGGGGGCGGTGGTGTGTCGGGCCTACAATTATTATTACTCGGCTGTACCGTCACCGCTGCGTTGCATTCTTCCACTTTTTGTTTCTTCTTGTCCTTGTTTCGACGGCCGCTCAGTCTGCGCAACGAGAACCGCTGGAAAAATCCACCGAGCTTGTCACCGATCGTTTTCGGTTTAGCTGACATGGCGACCGGCGGTTCGACTTCGATCGGTCGCGGTTGAACACTGCGACTGTTGCTGATGGAACCGGTGGCCACGGTGTTATTATTAGTGGGCGCGGCAATTATTCTATGCGACATTGGTGGGGAGCCGCCCGTGATGAAGTCCAGCCGTTCGCGCAGCTGTTGTTTTTCCGCCACACTTGGACGCCTGGTTTCTGATGGCAAACCGGTCAACAGTTTCATTACCATCGTGTCAATGTTTTCGTCGGTTTCGTCACTAATTCGGTCATAGTCTTCGTCGTCTTCCGTTTCCGGGGGTTCATCCGAAACATTGTCGTTTTCGCCGCCACCGACGTCAGTGCAACTGCTGCTGCTGAAGCTCTCACGCCAGTTCACTTCGGACACAACCGGACAAAAGTGCACGCCCTTGTTGGGCGTCGGTGCAGCTGCAAGGTTCACGAAACTGGTGGTTATCAGTAGATTGCTACCACGCGAAGAGGCTGCACTCAGAGCCGACTCGCTCTCGTAATGTATGCGCTTCAGCGAGTGCGATCTGTCCAACGATACGGTGGAATCTAGCAGCTTTTTGGAGCGCAAATAGTCACCGTCGGCATGCGCCAGCAAACCGTCGGCGCACAGGTTGGGCGTACTTGACATTGGCAAACGGGACGCCATCGCGGTACCGTCGCGGTGGTGATGATGGTGGAGGTGGTGATGCCGGCGGTTGTCGTCGTCGTCGGTCGTAGGAGATTCCGCAGTCACTGACGGCTGATCGCCCAGATCGGGATAGCTGTGCCAGGCTGCGCTAAATTTAGATTTCATCTCGTCGTCGTCGCCATCGTCGTCGTCGTCGTCCGTCCCCTTCCCCTTGGCGGTGACAGAGCACTGCGCGGTCGTGGCAGAACCGACGGCGGCGGCGGCGATCGTCGCGACGCTCTTCGTCGACATCTCAAAATAGTTTTCGTCTTCGGCGATGGGTTTATACGTTTGTAGTATGGCAGGACCGCGGGGAACCTGATCCCCGAAACCACTATCTTCGCTTAAGTTTTCAGACGATCGTTGCTGCTTACATCCTACCCCCTGTATAGCGTCTTCCGGTTTTTTATTGTCCGTTTCATCTACGTCATCGTCGTCGTCGTCGTCGTCCATTTTCTCGCGATACGCAGGATCGATAAGACAGTCAACCGTTTTGTACATACCGGTGGCCGGTTGGGCCACGGCACACGTCGCTCCGACGGCCGCCGCCGCAGAGTCATACTGACCGTCGTCCCTGCCGCACAGACGCAGCTCATCCAAACTCTGTGACACATCGTTCATGCCATCTCTGCAATTGTTGTTGCATCGTTTCTTGCTTGCAGTCGAGTGCACGCTCTCCATACTCTTGCTTAGCGACTTGATGCTAGACCCGTCGCCCGCGTAACTCGAAAACGGCGTACTGCATAACACAGCTTCGTCGTCGTCCATGGTAGTACCGCAATCGTCATCCATCGCGGATTGTTTTAAGTTGTTCCGGCGCGGCAAACCGGCCGGCCGTTGGGCGGCAGTCAGGGACTCTGCGCTGTTGGTCATGAACGGCGTTGCGGTGGCCGTCGTCCGGAACACGGTTTGTTCGCATTGTTTCTCCAGGCTCTCGAACTGTAACAGGCTACCACCCCCACAACCATTGGTTAGCGGCCCCCCGCCAGCACCAGCCGTCCATAAATGGTGATCCTGCAGGTTGTCCCTGTAGAATAATACCGTGTCGTTGTCATCGTCGTCGTGCACGCCAGGATCGTTATTGTCATACATCCTGATGGTCGCCTGTTTATTATTGTTGCTTGATTTGAACAAGTTAAATGGGTCACCACGGTTTATCATAGACCAGTTTTCTTCCTTTATAAAATCTGTGAAAATGCAATAAAGCTTTAGAAGTACATAGTCACATGCCACACGCTGGAGGGAACAATATTAGTTAAAAACTTAACATATTGTATACAATAACAGGTATCCATAACTAAGACATCGTCAATTTTTCATAAGATCTATCGTGAAACGTATGCTGTATGCATATGAATTTAACAGTATGTTCTTCAATTACTTCAATACAGATTTTATATCATCATTATTGCAAGTATTATGTATATCGGAGAAATATGATATCACACCAAGTTATCACAACATTATTATAGTTGTARGTTCTACAACTAAGCCTTATAAAAATATTACCGTTTTATTAAAATTTAACAATAAAACAGTAAATACCTAGTATAAATCGGATATAGCAAGTACCTATAACCTATACCTATATATATTTGTGGTCAAGAGTAATAATTCCTGGTGATTTCAAAATTATCGGTAAAAACAAAAAAAGCATATACCTACGGAAAACAGGAAAGTTTTCAAAAAATTTATTTTGTTGTTTATTATTATTAAAAAAAAAACCAATAACCGTGCTTAACATGGGGCCCACATTACATAGGTATTTATCAAATATTTATAACATCATTTACTCGGCATAGTATATTTTTAAAATATGTTGGTTTTATTTATGATATTAAGACTTTTTAAATTTGAATAGAGTTGGGTATTATAATGAAAAATGAGGATTTCTTCTTTGAAAAATTTAGTCAATTTTTTGTTATTCAGAAATATTAATTCTAAGAACTTGCAACTTTTTKCTATTAGCTACGCATATCATTAATATTTTCTACAATTCACCTCAAAATTTTCAAAACATTTATTGACTTATTATTCGGTACGCCTGAATTGTTTATTTGACTTATAAAKATAATAATAATAATTTATCAAGATTTATTATTGAATTCAAATTGAAAACATCCATAACAGTAGCTTTTACAAACTACAAAGTTTTACTTGATATCTACTGCACAGCAGAGCAAATACCTCTGTTTTTATAATGTCAGTACCTAATCATTATCTCACACTAATATTATTACAATAATCAGAATGTTAATCTATAATTTGAAAAATGCATACATAGTAATATAACAATAATGTTATACTTATTAATTATTGTTATATACTTATATTTACTCCTTTTAAATATTAAAATATGTYTGTAAAACATATCTGTGCATTTTATGTTGCCTGTTTAAACATTTTAAGGAACGACAGAAACGTAAAATAAAACTGGGATTTTAAATGATTGGAATTTAAGGCGTGAGGTATCTAATATATAAATTCATACTATAGAATGAGTCATCTTGTGTCTCAGACTAGTTAGTACATTAGCACATGCGATCAATTTACAAATAAAAAAAATGGGTGTGATCTCCTGTGGTTATATTAACCATCATAGCGTCCAATGTGTGGTAATAAAAACATAAAAACACATAAGTATTTATTTTAATATATTATAATATATCAAAGAGTCATTTATAACTCTTTATATTTTTCAGTGTCAAGAACAATAATACAATTTTTTTTAAACATATTACATATATAAGCTTGGATAGTTATATAAAAAAACTGGTTTTACTAAAATTATAAAAATGCTACACTTATATTATATTTTGTATTTGATAAAGTATTGTTTATATTTAATGGGATTTAAATTCGATGTATAAATGTATTTAGGAAGTTCAAATTCAAATATTCAAAACATATTTTGTTGTGAAACCGTGTGACAGAAATACACGAATACAAGATTAGTTGACATATTACTCACCGACAAACAACTAACAATTTGATCAAAATATTAATATTTAAAGTCTGCATTTGTTTGTAACCAGAGAGGAAAGAAATCTATAAAGGAGTTTTTTTTATTAGAAATATTAAAACAATCAATTTGAGATAAGTGTCAACTAGAATATAGATTAGAAGTTTTTATATATATAATGTGAATAGGTTTGAAGCATATTTAAATAGTCTTGAAATTAGTCTAAATATTTTTAAAATTGTTATTCCTAATATTCAGAAAATTATAATACAACTTTAATATACAATTAAAATTTTTTATTTGTGTAACTCTAGAAATAAGATACACGAAATATTCACTGAATGTTAATATTATTAATGTCTTTGCACCACACAATTTTCAAAATATCTTGACTCTTTTTGAGTTATTTTAATAGGAATAAGAAAATTTGAGTTATATTAATAGCGAATTTTGAACGGGGCGTATTGTATTGACTTAACAATGAGGTGTTTTATTTTTTTTGCGACTATGTACACGATAAGTAGTCGAAACAATGCTTCGATGTTTTTCAACAGTATCCATTCCAGTGGGAAATTGAATCTAGTTGGTGCACTGGGGAGATCGAAATTTGAAATTCTTAGTAGTTTTCAAAAGCACAGACAAAAAAAATTTAGGAAAAATGGGAATTTTTATATGAAATCGATTTTTGACAAAATTGTTTTTGGTTTAGTTGTAACCCTAAAAAAAGTGACCATAGATACGAAGAATTTTCGCTGAATGTTTGTATTAGAATATTTTATACGCCATTAAATTTTCAAAATATTTTAAACATAGTCRTATGAAATTTTCGATTATTATTAGTTTTTCTCGATTAATGTAGGTATATAAAATAATATTCGCTCGTTCAAAAAATTATTTTAAAATATATATTCTCGTTTTCCGCTATATTTCCAAATTTGTGCTAAGTAAGKTAATGGAAATTATCCCACTTTTGATCCCAAAATTACTATTTAGAACAAATTTCGTAAGAGAAACTATACTCTCGTTGTTGAAGGTTAAAAAAAAWKKT